AAAGCAGCTTCTACAATACCCTATTGGTTACCCAGAAGCCAAAGCACAGCTCCCTTAAAGCAATCCAGCCCTGGGCCTCACCCAGACAGCCACATCAATATGATTAAGATCACTGAAAATCTTGTTCATCATGTATAAAGTTCTATCAAGCCAAAGGGTCAGACACATTACCCACCAGGTCAATGAATATCTCAGATCTCCCCCACATACGTGTTTACAGCCAGTTCTTATTCACTCAACACAGATTTATGAAGGAAGAACACAGAGTGTTGCAATTAAAGACCATTAAACACACAGAAATAAATGAAGCTCTCCAGATGGACAGTCCAAATAGAGAAATTGTTCAAATACTTCCAAAAAGGATTAGCAGCATAATCCAGATTGGAGCTGGAGTCTTCAGTCCTGCAACTCAAGCTGCCCCTGACCAAGTGTAAGCAGATGAGATGACAGGGTGAGGCCCTAGAGAGCTTTGATAGATTTTTAGCAAGCCATGGCAGCCTAAATGCACCATGGCAATGCACCAGGCATTCCTTGGGTGAAGAACAGGTAATGTACATGCTGCACTGATGTAAAAATCCCAAATTCATATACACACACACACACACACACACACGTAATTTGGGGACCATAAAGACAATGTAAGTCATACAACCGCCTTCAATATCTTTTACATCTTTGATCTTAAGCTTAACTAATAAAGGGGAATAATCCACAAACAGAATAAAATGTAAATAAGACACAAAAGGGAATTAACATTCACAAGTTACATTGCTAACATCTAACAAGCTATATCCAAATATAATTAGTATGTACATCAAATTCTCTAACAATACAGGTTTTCATTTCAAAGCTCCAGTCTTATCTAACATGGCTGTGTTAAATATTTAAAAGGAATGACCTTAATTAACATTTGCATACTTTTCAATTTGGGTCATTTAGCCTGCTAGTTGCTTCACTCTTTCTGGCTCAGTGCCACACAATCAAAGGCCATTCAAATTATGATTTTTTTTAAAAGACACACATTTTGGATCCTTTTATTTGTCTTTTTGTTTCTGACCTGGTAAGGAGAATTGCCTCTTGGCTTCCATACCCAGCAGCTCATACCTTCATAAATACTCCAAATATTGCCAGAGCCATGCCAAAATTAGGAGAACTGGTGATACTTGTGATATATATTTCATACCTAGACATACAAGCTCTTCTATTTTATAGACTAAATAAGCCCAAACTCCTCAGCTTCTTATAAAACAAGTGTTTTAGTCCCCTCCCCTCAGCTTCTTCTTATAAAACAAGTGTTTTAGTCCCCTAATCATTTTCCTTGCCCTCTGCTGGTCTTTCTCCAATGTGTTCACATTCTTTCTGAAATGGGGTAGGCCTAGAACTGGACATAACACTCCCAAATGTGGCCTCACCAGTGCCAAATAAAGGGGAATAATCACTTCTCTAGATCTGCTTGCTATGCTCCTCCTAATGCAACCTAATATGCTGTTAGCCTTCTTGGCTACAAAGGCACACTGTTGACTCATATGCAGCTTCTCATCCACTGTAATCCCCAGGTTTTTTTACGCCAAACCTGCACTGCAGAAAGTTATGGCATTGTTTAATATACTTTCTGGATCCAGGCCTTTGCAGTGTGATTCCACATCCATTGCTTAGTGACATACACTGACTCTGTGAGTAGCATGGAGCTATGACATTCATAGAAAAAAAACCTGTGGAACCCACTGGCAGCCACAATTTTCATATCTGCCCCTCCTCCTCTACCCTCCTATGCACCTTTGGGCCTCACACATCAGCTTCTCCCCCGAACTAGAGGTTCCTATCTCCTGCAGATCAACTGTTCAGTGCTATTAAGGACATGGTAGAGGAGAGGCAGAATGAGTGTGGGAAGAGACAGGTCAGGGTGAGCATTTTGAGGGAACGCATGGAGTTGGGGGCAGAGCCTAAGGTGGAATGAGAGTCAAAAGGCTTCTGGAATTAATGTGTGACTGATTACATGCCCTATAGACAGGTGGCATATGTATGCATTTAGTGCAAGGTGCTCCTGGCCCTCAGAGTCTGTACATACAGACTTTGGAGACCATGGTGGCGAACTGGAGGAGCTATTGGAGGCAGAGGTACATAAAAGAGTTTCCAGGACACAGTAGAATGGCCCCACTCCCTGGTCACGTAGCTGCTGTGCTGTTGAGGAGGGTGAACATCTCAGGGAAGTCTCCCAACTGGAGAAGAAGGGAATGATCCCATAGTTGGGACCTTATAGATGATGTCATCATCTTGCATGGAGGATATTTCTCCTAGGGAGAGAACTCCAGTCATTAGGACAAGACTGGTGCTAGTAAGGGGAATTTGATCATTAGAAACATGGACAGCTGGTCCTGTGTGACCAGGCACCCGGCTCTGAAGGAAGCCCCACAATAGAGACAGCACAGAAATAAGGGTAGCAGTACTACCACTCCCTCACAATAACCTTGTGACACCCCCACATGCCCACAATTCTTTTTTCAGTCAGAACCCCTACAATTACAAGACCATAACATTTCAAATCAAAATGAACAGGAGAGCTGTGAACAAGACACAAATCATTCTTACACTCTACTCTGCACTGATTAGGCCTTAATTAGAGTGTGCACCACATTTCAAGAAAGACATGGAAAAATTGGAGAAGATTGAGAAGAGCAACAAAAATTATTAAAGGTCTAGAAAACAGGACCTATGAGGGAAGACCAAAAGAATTGGGCTTGTTTAGTTTAGAAAAGAAAAGACTAAGAGGGGACATGATAGCGGTTTTCAAGTATCTGTTACAAGGGTGTTATAAGGAGGAGGGAGAAAAATTGTTCTCCTTGGCCTCTGAGGATATGACAAGCAGCAATGGGCTTAACCTGCAGCAAGGGAGGTTTAGGTTGGACATTAGGAAAAACTTCCTATCTTGTTGGTTAAACACTGGAATAAATTGCCAAGGGTAGTTGTGGAATCTCCATCAATGGGAGATATTTAAGAGCAGGTTAGACAGACATCTGTCGCGGATGATCTAAATAGTGCTTGCAGGGGACAGCAAGGGACTGGACTTGATGACCTCTTAAGATCCTTTCCAGTTTTATGATTCTATGAAAATATCTGAAATATTTGGATTGGACATTAAGAAAAACTTGCTAACAGTCAGGGGTGGGTAAACAATGGAATAAACTGCATAGGGAGGTTGTGGAATCTCTGTTGCTGGAAATAAGATAGACATCTAACAGGGATAGTCTAGATGGTCCTTAAGCTTGCCATAAGGGCAAGGAACTGGACTTGATAACCTATAGATGTCCTTTCCACTTCCAGTATTCTATGATTTTATGAAATAATGAAATTTATGATTTTTTAAGTTGTGTGATGGCAATATTGACAAAAATGGACCATACATTTGATAGGGCATTGATTCCAGTTTTGGTTTTAGAAAATTTTCTCCAGTCTCAGGTAGTTTTAAGGCTGTATTACTTTTACTGTTTCTACAATAATTGTTTCTGTTTGTACCATATGATATTAGGACCTTTTCATAGTTGAATGGAAGTTGCTGAGTTTATATGACTTGGACACTTTTCTGTTAACATCAGCTACCACTCCCAACAGTCCAATTCTAGGGAACAGAATTGAACTGCAATGGGGTTAGTATTCTAGGAAAGCAAGAATTGAGCTTTCTTAGATGAAATTCCATCTTACCTGAAGCACAGAAATTCCCTACAGAATTTTAGCAACAATAGTTGATTTTCTAAACCTTTGTGAACTTTTTAGCACTGGAATTTCTGGACTCTTCTGCATGGTTTAGGTGTCTGCTTGTGTGTCTGCTTGCTGACCAGTGTGACAAACAGAAGTGCTTTTTATGACTGGTTTGGTGTGCTTTTTGACAGAAGATCCTCAGACTTGGGTTGCAAGTAGACCCATCTTTAAGCAATTCACTGTGATATGACCCTCTCAGAAATGGCCCCAGAAACCCTGTTACATTACAATAGGGTCTCTATCATCTTTGGGTTCTCCAATGTGAGACAATGTGTGAGTACTGACTAAAGCTTTTCTGCTTGAACTACAGATTTTACCTTTTTGAATATCTGTCAGGAGAGGTATCAGCTGTTAAATCTTTGCCCACAAGCAGAGCAGTTATAGGTCAGCTGTTAAACCTTTGCCCACAAGCAGAGCAGTTATAGGGGTTCTATCTTGTGTGAACTTCTGATGCAATAAGGCGTGAGCACTCACTGAAGCTTTTCCCACAGTCATGAGCAGATGAAGGGTTTCTTTCCTGTGTGGATTCTCCAATGTCTAACAAGGTCTGAACTCTCTCTGAAGTTTTTCTCACAGCCAGAGTAGTTATACAGAGTGTTCCATGTAATTTCTCTCTCAGTTGCAGAATTAATTTTATTAGAGGCATCAATATGCAATGAATGTGAGACATCTCCTCACTGGTGCACAGAACCAACGTCATGTGGTAGGAGTAGGGCTGGGGTTCAGGGTCTTGGATTGTGGGATGGAATCTCAGGGCTGTGGCAAAGAGCTGGGGAGCAGGGGTGTGAGGGCTGGCCCTGAGGTGGGCCCAGGGATAATGGGCTCAGGGCCGAGAGAGAGGTTTGAGCTGTGGAGGGGTGAGGGCTCTAGCTGGGGGTGTGCCAAGGAAGGATTTGAGGAGCAGGCCACCAAAGGGCTACATTGGGGAGAGAAGACTCCCACCAGTTTTCTCTCCCCAACCTCAGATGCTGCTGTGAGAAGGGAAGCGGAGAGCAGCATCTCTCCCTGCCATGGCAGCTCTGGGGCTGTGGCAGTGGGATAGCCATCTGTTTGCCAGTCATTGCAGGTCTGGGCTGGGTTTGATACCAGTGAACACAGGCATCAATCCCCACCATAGGCCTAAGCACCAGGTAGGCATTTATTAGGCTGCAGAAAGGCTGTACGACCATACAACTTTAAGAGAACTAAGGTCATAGGGTTTCTCTCCTGTATGGAGTCTCCTGTGTCTAACAAGTTCTGAGGGTCATAGGGTTTCTCTCTTGTATGGAGTCTCCTGTGTCTAACAAGTTCTGAGCTCTGAATGAACATTTTCCTGCAGTTGGCAAAGTTATAGGGTTACATTAACAGGAATGTTATGAGTAAGACATGAGAAGCAATTCTTCTGCTCTACTCTATGCTGATTAGGCCTCAGCTGGAGTAACGTGGTCAGTTCTGGGCACATGACTTCAAGAAAGATGCGGAGAAATAGAGGCCAGAGAAGAGCAACAAAAATCATTAAATGTCTCGAAGACATGACCTATGAGGGAAGACTGAACTGGGTTTTAGTATAGAAAAGAGAAGACTGGGAGGGGCTATGATAGCAGTTTTCAAGTACCTAAAAGGATGTTACAAGGAGGAGGGGAAAACATTGTTCTTGATCTCTGATGAGAGGAGAAGGCATGGACTTAAATTGCAGCAAGGGAGGTTTAGGATGGACATTAGGAAAAACTTTTAACTGTGAGGGTGGCTGAAAACTGGAATAAATTGCTTAAGGAAATTGCAGAATCTCCATCATTGAAGATATCTAAGAGAAATTAGATAGACATCTATCAGGGATGACAAGATACTTGGACCTCCCATGAGGGCAGGGGACTGTACTTGATGACCTCTTGAAGTCTCTTCTAGTTTTCTATTATTTTATTTTATGAATCTATGATTCTCCTGGGTGGATTGTATGATGATTGGTAAGACTTGAGTCCTGACTCAAGCTTTTCCCATAGTCAGAGCAGTCTAAGAGTTTCTCTCCTGTGTGGATTCTCCTATGTGTAACAAGATGTGAGCTCCTACTGAAACTTATCCCACAATCACTGCAGCTAAACGGTTTCTCCCCTGTGTGGATTCTCCTGTGTGTAACAAGATGTGAGCTCCTACTGAAGCTTTTCCCACAGTCAGAGCAGTTGAAAGGTTTCTCCCCTGTATGAATTCTCCTGTGTGTAACAAGATGTGAGCTCCAACTGAAGCTTTTCCCACAATCAGAGCAGTTGAAAGGTTTCTCTCCTGTGTGGATTCTCCTATGTTTAACAAGGTGTGAGCGCCCACGGAAGCTTTTCCCACAGTCAGAGCAGGTGAAAGGTTTCTCCCCTGTGTGGATTCGCCTATGTGTAACAAGGTCTGACCTCTTACTGAAGCTTTTCCCACAGTCAGAGCAGCTGAAGGGTTTCTCTCCAGTGTGGATTGTCCTGTGTCTAATAAGTTGTAAACTCTCACGGAAGCTTTTCCCGCAATCACAGCAACTGAAAGGTTTTTCTCTTGTGTGGTTTCTCTTATGTCTAATGAGACTTGACTGCTGACTGAAGCTTTTCCCACAGTCAGAGCAGCCGAAGGGTTTCTCCCCCGTGTGGATTCTCCTGTGTGTATCAAGATGTGAGTTCCAACTGAAACTTTTACCACAGTCAGAGCAGCTGAAGGGTTTCTCCCCTGTGTGGATTCTCCAATGTTTAACAAGATCTGAGCTCTCACTGAAGCTTTTCCCACAAACAGAGCAGTTGAAGGGCTTCTCTTCTGTGTGGATTCTATGATATTCAATAACAGTTCCCCAGTCACTGCAAGTGTAGAGCGCTTGTTGATGGAGAATTTTCTGTTGTATGGTTTCTGTGTTTTTCACCCCTCTGCTCCTAGGATTGGATTTTCCCTGTCCCTTCTCTGGATGGTTTCTCTGTTGCCTTTCTGAGCTACGCTGACTCTCACTGGTCTCTCCCTGCTCAGGTATCTGGGAAACATGCCCCTCAGATCTTCCCAATAACATCCCATGTGGAGCCACTTGCTCCAGTCCTTCATGCTGAAGACTCTTTTCATGGTTCTCAGTCAGTGTCCCGTCACCTGTTGGAAGAAACCAGACAGAAGTCATTCTCTGTGCTGAGCTGAAAGGAAAACTCTGAAAGGGGACTAGAAAAGGGGGAACATGCTCAAATAATGGTTGGAAAAGTTCAATAATCATGAGCTAAGTTCATTCTCCTTCCCTATATCCCTTTCCCAGAGAGAACCCAGCATCCACCCTGTAGGGGTTAATTGCGGAAGCACTTTGCACAAGAAAGCACAGGGGTGGCAAGGTACACATCCTCCCCCCTCCTCCTATAACTGATGAGCCAGAAACAAGCCATCAGGAACACGCGCCTGAAGATAGGCGGTGGTGCCATTGTGACAAAAGCAATTTATAGATAAGGGTAGGAGAAAGGACAGGAACATAACAACCTTGCTTAACCAGATGTATTAATCATGTAAACAAGGTCAAAAGGAAAAGCAGTATCAGACCAATAGTGAATGGCTAAGCCATCCTGTAACAAGTGATATGTAACCCCCAGAAAGTTCCAAACTGCAAAACAGGGTAAAAACCTGTATATAAGCTGCACAACAGTATGGCAATTCAGACTTCAGTGATGGATTCTGGTACCAGTGCCTCAGAAGACTAGACGACCTCCCAGGGGTCCCCAGCTTGCAGAAGGGAAGTAAGAGCCTCTTTTCCTATCATGTTGTTCTTTTAGTTAAGGGGTACAACTGAAATCTGTCAGGAAATAAACTGCTTGTGTTTCACAGATACTGGTGCAGTGTGTTTTGTACTTAGAGAAGCACAGGTGTTGGACCTGAAAATTACTCTTGCCAGCAACACCTCCCCCACCCCGACTGGAGCTGGAAGTTTTGTAATTAGAGAAGAACAGGTGTTGGACCTGAAAAATAACTCTTGCCAGCAACACCTCCCCCACCCCGACTGGAGCTGGAAACAAGTTGAAGGGGCAGTTAGACTTGATGAAAATGCTCAAGAGATGTCCGCTGTGAGGACACAGAAATTGGTTTCTGAGTCACTTTAGTGGATTACTCACCTGTGTGGCTGTTGCAGATGATCTCCCCTTCCTCAGAGCCCTGGAGATCCGGGATCCACAGCTCCTCCCTTTGTTCCACCCAAGAGATCACATTAGCTTTGGAGACTGGAAATCCTGCTCGGGGATCAATTAACCAAATGTTTAGCATGTTCATTAAGATCTGTGCTATTACTGCTTCCAGAGCCAGTATCGGAGCCGTCTACCCAGAGAGGCTCCTTCCCTACCTTACAGAGGCTTGGGCTCTGGATGGTACAAGATCCCAGGACACATGCACCTGTAGTAAAGGTGCATCCCCCCCCGCCTGAAAAATGGCCCAACTTATTACTTGAGGGAACTGAGCACTCTGCTGCACCCTTTAGGGCAGCGGTTGTCAAAGTGCGGTCCCTGGAACACTAGTGGTCCATGACTATCTTGAAGGTGGGCTGCAGACTTGTGACTTGCCTCCCAGCCTTAAGGGTGGAGCCAGAGCTAGCACTATGACCCTGAGTCTCCCTCCAAGGTTGGAGCGCCAGTACCAGTTTCCCACTATGTGGGAGGGGGAGAGCAAGCCTTGCAGGCTGAATATGACTTGCAGGAGAAGGAACTGGCTCCATGTGCTGCCACTTAGAATCATAGAGCTGGAAGAGACCTCAGGAGGTCATCAAGTCCAGCCCCCTGCCCAAGGCAGGACCAATCCCAACCAAATCAACCCAGCCAAGGCTTTGTCAAGCCGAGACTTAAAAACCTCCAGGGATGGAGATTCCACCATCTCCCTAGATAACCCATTCCAGTGCTTCATCACCCTCCTAGTGAAATAGTTTTTCCTAATATCCAACCTAGACCTCTCCCACTGTAACTTGAGACCACTGCTACTTGTTCTGCCATCCATCACTACTGTGAACAGACTTTCTCTGTCCTCTTTGGAACCTCCCTTCAGGAAGTTGAAGGCTGCTATCAAATCCACCCTCACTCTTCTCTTCTGCAGACTAAAGAAACCCAAATCCCTCACTCTCTCTTCATAGGTCATGCACTCCAGCCCCCTAATCATTTCGGTTGCCCTCTGCTAGACCCTCTTCAATGCGTCCACATCCTTTATATAGTGGGGGGCCCAGAACTGGACACAATACTCCAAAGCCGAATAAAGGGGAATAATCACTTCTCTCAATCTGCTGGCAATGCTCCTCTTAATGCACCCTAATAGGCCATTAGCCTTCACTACAAGAGTATACTGTTGACTCATAACCAGCTTCTCATCTACTGTAATCCCTAGGTCCTTTTCTGCAGAACTGCTACTTAGCTGGTTGGTCCCCAGTGTATAACAATACTTGGGATTCTTCTGTCCCAAGTACAGGACTCTATACTTGTCCTTGTTGATCCTCATCAGATTTCTTTTGGCCCAGTCCTGTAATCTGTCCAGGTCAGTTGGGACCCTATCACTGCCCTCCAGCATATCTACCTCTCCTCCTGTCTTAGTGTCATCTGCAAACTTGCTGAGGGTGCAATCCATCCTCTCATCCAAGTCATTAATAAAGATGTTGAACAAAACCGGTCCTAGAACAGATCCTTGGGGCACTGTGCTAGAAACTGACCACCAACCTGACATCAAGCCGTTGATCACTACTCACTGGGCCTAACAGTCTAGCCAGCATTCTATCCATCATATAGTCCATTTATCCAATCCATATTCCCTTAACTTGCTGGCAAGAATATTGTAGGAGACCATATCAAAAGCATTGCTAAAGTCTAAGGTATATCATATCCACTGACCTTCCCATATACACAAAGCCAGTTACCTCATCATAGAAGCTAATCAGATTGGTCAGGCACGACTTGCCCTTCGTGAATCCATGTTGACTAATCCTGATCACTTTTTCCTCTTCCAAGTGCTTCAAAATGGAGTCCTTGAGACTCTCCTCCATGATTTTTCCGGGGACTGAGGTAAGGCTGACTGGTCTGTAGTTCCCTGGATCGTCCTCCTTCCCTTTTTTAAAGATGGGCATTACATTTGCTTTTTTCCAATCATATAGGATCTCTCCTGATCTCCACGAGTTTTCAAATATAATGGCCAAAGGCTGCGCAATGACATTTGCTAACTCCCTCAGTACCCTCAGATGCATTAAATCTGGACCCATGGATTTATGTATGGCTAGCTTTTCTAAATAGTTCCTAACCTGTTCTTTCCCCACCATGGCCTGTCCACTTCCTTCTCATACTGCATTGCCTAGTGCATTTGTCTGGGAGCTGACCTTGTCCATGAAGACCGAGGGAAAGAAAGCATTTAGTACTTCAGCTTTTCCCACACCATCTGTCACTAGGTTACCTCCCTCATCCAGTAAGGGCCCCACACCTTCTCTGATCACCCTCTTATTGCTAACATGCCAGTAGAAACCTTTCTTGTTATCCTTCACATCCCTTGCTAGCTGCAATTCTAGTTACGCTTTCGTCTTCCTGATAACTCCCCTGCATTCTCGAGCAATATATTTATACCCCTCCCTAGTCATCTGTCCAATTTTCCACTTCTTGTAAGCTTCTTTTTTGTGTTTAAGCTCACCAAGGATGTCCCCGGAAAGCCAATCTGGTTGCCTACCATATTTGCTTTTCTTGCTGCTCGTCAGGATGGTTTCTTCCTATGCCCTTAATAAGGCTTCTTTAAAATACTGCCAGCTCTCCTGGACTCCTTTCCCCTTCATGCAAGCATCCCAAGGAATCCTGCCCATCAGTTCTCTGAGGGAGTCAAAGTCTGCTTTTTTGAAGTCTAGGGTGTGTATTTTGCTACTCTCCTTTCTTCCTTTGGTCAGGATCCTGAAATCTACCATCTCATGATCACTGCTTCCCAGGTTGTCACCCATCTCTACTTCCCCTCCTAGTTCCTCCCTGTTTGTAGGCAGCAGGTGAAGCTGCTCATGGCCCCTGGTTGGTTCCTTCAGCACTTGTACCAAGAAGTTATCCCCAACATTCTCCAAAGACTTCCTGGATTTTCCATGTACTGCTGTATTGGTCTCCCAACAGATGTCAGGGTGATTAAAGTCCCCCATGAGAACCAGGGCCTGCGATCTGGAAGCTTCTCTCAGTTGTCCAAAGAAAGCCTCGTCTACCTCATCCACCTTATCTGGTGGTCTATAGCAGACACCAATCACATCACCACTGTTGCTTTCACCTCTAAACTTAACCCATCGACTGTCAACAGTCTTTTCTCCCTGTAAATACTGGAGGATCTGGCCAATCTTACTTTTCTCTTACATACAATGCAACTCCTCTTCTTTTTCTCCCTCGCCTGTTCTTATTGAACAGTTTATAGCCCTCCACGACAGTGTTCCAGGCATGCAAGTCATCCCACCAAGTCTCCATTATTTCAATCAAATCATAGTTCTTTGACTGGGCCAGGGCTTCTAATTCTTCCTGTTTGTTTCCCAGGCTTCTTGCATTTGTGTACAAACACCTTAGATAGCCAGCTGATTGCTCTACCTTCTGCATTCGGGTCAGGGGTCCTCCTTTGTTGCTCGTTTCTCCTTGTATTTCTTCCCGGTATCTGACTTCCTCACTTTCCTCAGGGCTTTGGTCACCATCCCCCAACGAACCTAGTTTAAAGCCCTCCTCACTAGGTTTTCAAGCCTGCCCGCAAAGATGCTCTTTCCTCTTTTGTTTAGGTGGATCCCGTCTCGTCCTAACAATCCTTGTGCCTGGAATAGAGTCCCATGTTCAAAGAAACCAAAGCCCTCTCTCCAACACCACCTGCATAACCACACATTTACTTCCTCAATTTGATGATCCCTATCCGGTCCTTTTCCTTCAACCAGAAGGATGGACGAGAACACCATTTGCGCTTCAGATTCCTTGATCCTTTTTTTCCCCAGCGCTACATAATCTACTGTGACCCGCTCAAGGTCATTCTTGGCTTTCCCTTCTATCTGGCTGGAAAACACTCACCAGGATTTCCCTGCTGCTCCCATTGGCCATATTCGGGCCAATGTGAGCAGGGAGTGTGTGCGTGCCTAGGAGTGGTGGGAAGCATGGAGTCAGGTAAACAATCCCCTTGCCACTGAGATACCACACCCCTATCCCTCTTATATACTCCCCTCACACTGAGATCCTGCATGCCCAACCTGCTCCTGCGCCCAACCTTCTGGCCAGAACGCCTACCCTCAGCCCTCTTCTGCACCCTTCCTTCTACCCAGACCCCCCAATCCCAGCCCACTCCTACACACAAACTCTTACTCAGACTGCTGCTGCACCCTAGCTCCCACCCAGGCCATGCAACCCCTCTCCCTTATACACCCATTTTGTCATCAGAGATGATTGGCTTGTGGTCCATGGAAAGGTCTACCTGCAGTGATGTGGGTCATGGGCCAAGAAGTTTGAGAACCACTGCTCCAGTGTACAACTAAGTCGCTTTCATTGCCCATTCCATCCCCTCACCCAGCCCCAGGACAGGAACATGCTGCTCAAAAAGTGAGCTCCAGTGATGGTTTGCAGGTCTGAACCACGGCCCACAGGCAGGGTTCAGACTGCAACAGCCACACAGCAAGTCACTACAACTTGGAGAGAAAGGACCCAGTCGCTCCCCAGCTGTAGCTCCCCAAAGGCTCTGTCCACAAAGCTCCTGGCTGGGAAGCTCAGCTCAGCTCACCTTGCTCGTTGGCTTTTATGCTCTACTTGAACCAGACAGAGGAAGTTGCCTGAGCAATGAGGCAAATCGTTGGCTGGCTGCTTTTGACCCTGCCTACAACTCCACACTCCTTACCCTTGACTACTTGTGACTGGATGGTCTCTGCCGCTGCCCACAATAGCTGCTGTTCCAGCAACTGGTTCTGTGGGGGGCCATGTGGTGTTTTGCTGTGCTGCTTCTCTGGAGAAGGGTGGGAGGGAGACTGGAGGCCGTAGCTGCATTGTTGCTGCATCTCAGGTTCTCTTCTGCTGCCTTGCTTCTACTCTGCCACCAGCAGCCTCTGTGTGTGGATTCCAGCCTTCCTCATGGGCAGACTGGTCTTCCATGTGTTGCTCCCTCGACTACACAGAATTTACCATTCACATTTTTCCCAGCTTGTGGTCACATTCCTCACATCGTCAGCCAGACCCCTTCTCAGACCTTCATCTAGTGCTGGGAAGATCCCCCAGTGATGTTATAGGATTAAAAT